ATAATCTAAATTAATTTAAATACAAATCTATTTAAATTATATATTGTCTTTCTCATCTATTTTAATTATTCTCTTATAGTGCATTTTCATATCTAATCTAAATCTGCCGTTGTGCCACACAACATTTGATACGGTTTTTTTGTTGATTTCTAAAATAACTTTCTAGTACAAAAGTCTCTTAAATTAAAAAAATTTATACTACAAAGCCGTTTTAAAAGCATTGCAAAAACTGTTCCAAACGAAGCCTTAGTTTCAAATTACTTTTGCACACCTTTTTTCATTCATGAGCAGAAGCTCAAAATTAGCTCAGAAAAAAAAAAAAAATTGCTCAGATTCAACTGTTCCGGCAAGAGCAGGTTGAATCTGATTAACATACATTACAACTCTTCCGGCAGAAGCCTCGGGAGTCCTTGGAGCCTAACATATAAACTGGATTCTTACTGCATTCCCCTAACGCAGCCCACTTGGAGCAGAGCTCATTCTCGTCAACACATTCTCCGCCCAGGCCTCGCTTATTTGGCTTATCAAATGATCTCACATGAATCCATTTTGTTGCAGACCACTTCTCGCCTTCTATTACAGGGCAACTTCCATGCAGGCTTCCAGGATCCGTCGTTGCATCTAGATGAAGGCTGAAGAACAGCAGCGCGTCACCTTTTTCAGGTTTCACTGCAGGAGTTTAATCAAGAGTAAATATTACATTCTATGAGGATGATAAGACAAAACATTCAAAATAATAAATTAACTAATTAAAGTTAGAAGACAATTAACTTTTTTGTTAAGATAATAATCCATGGTTTTTTTTTTTTTTTGGCTTAAATGTCATAAATTTGTCTCACGTAGTGGGACAATGACTTGATGTTGCTGTTGTACAACAACAACCAACATCAAGCCTTTGTCCCACTATGTGGTTCGACTATATGAATCCTTTTTTGTCATTGTGTCCAGTTAAAAGTCAATTTTTCGTTTAAATCTAATAAAGAAATATCATTTCTAATATTTTCTAATCAAGTTTTTTTAGGTCTACCTCCAGATACAAAATTTACATATATATCACTTTATAGCATCTTATTTACATATCTGACACCCAAAACTTTAATATTACATACATATCACCCTATATTGTTTTAATATCAAATATGCACTCATATTTCCTTCCTACCACTCATACATTTCAATTTTACTGTTCATCTTTGATATGAAAATGAATTATGAGGGGTATATATTAAAGTTTTAGATGTTAAATATGTAAATATAATAGTATAGAATGGTATGTATGTAAATCTCCAATAAAAGTCTAAATCAAATGAGAACTAATTATGGAAATTGTAGACCTGCATAACCATTTCTGGCACAGTCA